GGCGTCAGAAGGGCGTGAGAAGGGCGCGAGAAGGGCGCGAGAAGGGCGCGAGAAGGGCGCGAGAAGGGCGTGAGAAGGGCGTGAGAAGGGCGTGAGAAGGGCGTCAGAAGGGCGTCAGAAGGGCGTGAGAAGGGCGTGAGAAGGGCGTGAGAAGGGCGCGAGAAGGGCGTCAGAAGGGCGCGAGAAGGGCGTGAGAAGGGCGCGAGAAGGGCGCGAGAAGGGCGTGAGAAGGGCGTGAGAAGGGCGTGAGAAGGGCGTCAGAAGGGCGTCAGAAGGGCGTCAGAAGGGCGTGAGAAGGGCGTCAGAAGGGCGTGAGAAGGGCGTGAGAAGGGCGGCAGAAGGACGCGAGAAGGGCGCGAGAAGGGCGCGAGAAGGGCGCGAGAAGGGCGCGAGAAGGGCGCGAGAAGGGCGCGAGAAGGGCGCGAGAAGGGCGCGAGAAGGGCGCGAGAAGGGCGCGAGAAGGGCGCGAGAAGGGCGTGAGAAGGGCGCGAGAAGGGCGTCAGAAGGGCGTGAGAAGGGCGTGAGAAGGGCGTGAGAAGGGCGCGAGAAGGGCGCGAGAAGGGCGTCAGAAGGGCGTGAGAAGGGCGTGAGAAGGGCGTGAGAAGGGGCGTGAGAAGGGCGTGAGAAGGGCGTCAGAAGGGCGTCAGAAGGGCGTGAGAAGGGCGGGAGAAGGGCGTGAGAAGGGCGTGAGAAGGGCGTGAGAAGGGCGTCAGAAGGGCGTGAGAAGGGCGTGAGAAGGGCGTGAGAAGGGCGCGAGAAGGGCGCGAGAAGGGCGCGAGAAGGGCGCGAGAAGGGCGCGAGAAGGGCGTGAGAAGGGCGTGAGAAGGGCGTCAGAAGGGCGTGAGAAGGGCGTCAGAAGGGCGTGAGAAGGGCGTGAGAAGGGCGTCAGAAGGGCGTCAGAAGGGCGTTATAAGGGCGTGAGAAGGGCGTGAGAAGGGCGTGAGAAGGGCGCGAGAAGGGCGCGAGAAGGGCGTCAGAAGGGCGTCAGAAGGGCGTGAGAAGGGCGTGAGAAGGGCGTGAGAAGGGCGCGAGAAGGGCGCGAGAAGGGCGTGAGAAGGGCGCGAGAAGGGCGTCGGAAGGGCGTGAGAAGGGCGTGAGAAGGGCGTGAGAAGGGCGTGAGAAGGGCGTCAGAAGGGCGTGAGAAGGGCGTGAGAAGGGCGTGAGAAGGGCGTGAGAAGGGCGTCAGAAGGGCGTCAGAAGGGCGTGAGAGGGGCGTGAGAAGGGCGTGAGAAGGGCGTGAGAAGGGCGTGAGAAGGGCGTCAGAAGGGCGTGAGAAGGGCGTGAGAAGGGCGTGAGAAGGGCGCGAGAAGGGCGCGAGAAGGGCGTCAGAAGGGCGTCAGAAGGGCGCGAGAAGGGCGTGAGAAGGGCGTGAGAAGGGCGTGAGAAGGGCGTGAGAAGGGCGCGAGAAGGGCGCGAGAAGGGCGCGAGAAGGGCGCGAGAAGGGCGCGAGAAGGGCGTGAGGAAGGGCGTGAGAAGGGCGTGAGAAGGGCGCGAGAAGGGCGCGAGAAGGGCGTCAGAAGGGCGTGAGAAGGGCGTGAGAAGGGCGTGAGAAGGGCGTGAGAAGGGCGCGAGAAGGGCGCGAGAAGGGCGCGAGAAGGGCGCGAGAAGGGCGTGAGAAGGGCGCGAGAAGGGCGCGAGAAGGGCGTGAGAAGGGCGTGAGAAGGGCGCGAGAAGGGCGCGAGAAGGGCGTCAGAAGGGCGTCAGAAGGGCGTGAGAAGGGCGTGAGAAGGGCGTGAGAAGGGCGTGAGAAGGGCGTGAGAAGGGCGTCAGAAGGGCGTGAGAAGGGCGTGAGAAGGGCGTGAGAAGGGCGTGAGAAGGGCGTGAGAAGGGCGTGAGAAGGGCGTCAGAAGGGCGTCAGAAGGGCGTGAGAAGGGCGTGAGAAGGGCGCGAGAAGGGCGTGAGAAGGGCGTGAGAAGGGCGTGAGAAGGGCGCGAGAAGGGCGTCAGAAGGGCGTGAGAAGGGCGTGAGAAGGGCGTGAGAAGGGCGTGAGAAGGGCGTGAGAAGGGCTTCAGAAGGGCGTGAGAAGGGCGTGAGAAGGGCGTGAGAAGGGCGCGAGAAGGGCGCGAGAAGGGCGCGAGAGGGCGTGAGAAGGGCGTGAGAAGGGCGTGAGAAGGGCGTGAGAAGGGCGTGAGAAGGGCGTCAGAAGGGCGTGAGAAGGGCGCGAGAAGGGCGCGAGAAGGGCGCGAGAAGGGCGCGAGAAGGGCGCGAGAAGGGCGCGAGAAGGGCGCGAGAAGGGCGCGAGAAGGGCGCGAGAAGGGCGCGAGAAGGGCGCGAGAAGGGCGCGAGAAGGGCGCGAGAAGGGCGCGAGAAGGGCGTGAGAAGGGCGTCAGAAAGGGCGTGAGAAGGGCGTGAGAAGGGCGTGAGAAGGGCGTGAGAAGGGCGTGAGAAGGGCGTGAGAAGGGCGCGAGAAGGGCGCGAGAAGGGCGCGAGAAGGGCGTGAGAAGGGCGTGAGAAGGGCGTGAGAAGGGCGTGAGAAGGGCGCGAGAAGGGCGCGAGAAGGGCGCGAGAAGGGCGTGAGAAGGGCGCGAGAAGGGCGTGAGAAGGGCGTGAGAAGGGCGTGAGAAAGGGCGCGAGAAGGGCGCGAGAAGGGCGCGAGAAGGGCATGAGAAGGGCGTGAGAAGGGCGTGAGTAGGGCGTGAGAAGGGCGTGAGAAGGGCGTGAGAAGGGCGTGAGAAGGGCGTGAGAAGGGCGTGAGAAGGGCGTGAGAAGGGCGTGAGAAGGGCGTGAGAAGGGCATGAGAAGGGCGTGAGAAGGGCGTGAGAAGGGCGTGAGAAGGGCGTGAGAAGGGCGTGAGAAGGGCGCGAGAAGGGCGTGAGAAGGGCGCGAGAAGGGCGTGAGAAGGGCGTGAGAAGGGCGTCCGCGCCGTCTGTGTCGGGGCCCTGATTGACGGCCACGAAGCTGAGAGGGCACTTGGCAGCGCCGTGCGAAGGCCCCCGCGCCCCCCCCCCCCAGTGGCGGGGGGCCTCCGCCGCCAAGCGCCGAGCGGAGGACCCACGGCGGAGGCCGCTGCACCGGACTCTCTGCCAACCGCGGCGTGGCCGAGCGGGGTCTCGCCGGGGGGGCCCACAAACATCTCTCACTATCTCTCTACATCTCTCTATATATATCTCTCTACATCTCACTATCTCTCTACATCTCTCTATATATATCTCTCTCTCTCCCCATCTCTCTCTCTCACCATCTCTCACTATCTCTCTACATCTCTCTATATATCTCTCTATCTCTCTACATCTCTCTCTCACTATCTCTCTACATCTCTATATATATATCTCTCTCTCTCCCCATCTCTCTCTCTCACCATCTCTCTACAACTCTCTCTCCATCTCTCTACAACTCTCTCTACATCTCTCTCCATCTCTCTACAACTCTCTCTACATCTCTCTACATCTCTCTCCATCTCTCTCTCTCACCATCTCTCTACAACTCTCTCTACATCTCTCTCCATCTCTCTCTCTCACCATCTCTCTCTCACCATCTCTCTACATCTCTCTACATCTCTCTATCTCTCTATATATTTCTCTCTATCTCTCTCCCCATCTCTCTCTCCATCTCTCTCTCACCTCTCTCTCTCTCCCCATCTCTCTCTCCATCTCTCTCTCACCTCTCTCTCTCTCACCATCTCTCTCTCCATCTCTCTATCTCTCTCTATCTCTCTCTCTATATCTCTACATCTCTATATCTCTCTCCATCTCTCTATATATCTCTCTATATATCTCTCTATATATCTCTCACCATCTCTATATCTCTCTCTATATATCTCACCCCGCGCTCTCTCATGACGGAGGCGACTGCTCCCATTGTGTGCTTGGCGTGCTGAGTCCTCTGGCGGTCGATGAAGAAGACGCCACAGAGCCAGGCGATGGCTCCGAATGGGCCCACAAACATCTCTCACTATCTCTCTACATCTCTCTCCATCTCTCTCTATCTCTCTATATATCTCTATATCTTTCTATCTCTCTCTCTCCCCATCTCTCTCTCCATCTCTCTCCCCATCTCTCTCTCCATCTCTCTCTACATCTCTCTCTATCTCTCTATCTCTCTACATCTCTCTCTATCTCTCTATATATCTCTCTACATCTCTCTCTCTCCATCTCTCTCTCCATCTCTCTCTCTCCATCTCTCACCATCTCTCTCTCCATCTCTCTCCATCTCTCTCTCTCTCACCATCTCTCTCTATATCTCTCACCATCTCTCTCTATATCTCTCTACATCTCTCTATATATCTCACCCCGCGCTCTCTCATGACGGAGGCGACTGCTCCCATTGTGTGCTTGGCGTGCTGAGTCCTCTGGCGGTCGATGAAGAAGACCCCACAGAGCCAGGCGATGGCTCCGAATGGACCCACAAACATCTCTCACTATCTCTCTACATCTCTCTATATATCTCTCTATATCTCTCTACAACTCTCTCTCCATCTCTCTACAACTCTCTCTCCATCTCTCTACAACTCTCTCTCCATCTCTCTACAACTCTCTCTACATCTCTCTCCATCTCTCTCTCTCCATCTCTCTCTCTCACCATCTCTCTCTCTCTATCTCTCTATATCTCTCTATATCTCTCTATATCTCTCTATATATCTCACCCCGCGCTCTCTCATGACGGAGGCGACTGCTCCCATTGTGTGCTTGGCGTGCTGAGTCCTCTGCCGGTCGATGAAGAAGACGCCACAGAGCCAGGCGATGGCTCCGAATGGGCCCACAAACATCACTCACTATCTCTCTACATCTCTCTATATACATCTCTCTCTATCTCTCTATCTCTCTACATCTCTCTCTATCTCTCTATATATCTCTCTACATCTCTCTATATACATCTCTCTCTCTCTACATCTCTCTACATCTCTCTCCATCTCTCTCTCTCTCCCCATCTCTCTCTCTCTCTCACCATCTCTCTCTCACCATCTCTCTCTTCATCTCTCTCTTCATCTCTCTCTTCATCTCTCTCTCCATCTCTCTCTATATCTCTCTCTATATCTCTCTACATCTCTCTATATATCTCACCCCGCGCTCTCTCATGACCGAGGCGACTGCTCCCATTGTGTGCTTGGCGTGCTGAGTCCTCTGGCGGTCGATGAAGAAGACCCCACAGAGCCAGGCGATGGCTCCGAATGGGCCCACAAACAGCAGCTCGCGCTTGGCTATGGGAGCACAACGATCCGGCAGGCACTCCATGAGGCCTGGCACACAGAGAGAGAGAGAGATAGTTAGAGATAGTTAGAGATAGATAGAGAGATAGTTAGAGAGATAGTTAGAGAGATAGAGAGATAAAGAGATAGTTGGCTATGGGAGCACAACGATCCGGCAGGCACTCCATGAGGCCTGGCACACAGAGAGAGAGAGATAGTTAGAGATAGTTAGAGAGATAGTTAGAGATAGTTAGAGATAGAGAGATAGTTAGAGAGATAGTTAGAGAGATAGTTGGCTATGGGAGCACAACGATCCGGCAGGCACTCCATGAGGCCTGGCACACAGAGAGAGAGAGAGGGAGAGAGTTAGAGATAGTTAGAGAGATAGTTAGAGAGATAGAGAGATAGTTAGAGAGATAGTTAGAGAGAGGGAGAGATAGTTAGAGATATAGTTAGAGAGACAGATAGAGAGATAGAGAGATAAAGAGATAATTGGCTATGGGAGCACAACGATCCGGCAGGCACTCCATGAGGCCTGGCACACAGAGAGAGAGAGAGGGAGATAGTTAGAGATAGATAGAGATATAGTTAGAGAGATCGAGAGATAGTTAGAGGGATCGAGAGATAGATAGAGTTAGAGAGATAGTTAGAGATAGTTAGAGATAGTTAGAGAGATAGTTAGAGAGAGAGGGAGAGATAGTTAGAGAGATAGTTAGAGAGATAGTTAGAGATAGAGAGATAGAGAGATAAAGAGATAGTTGGCTATGGGAGCACAACGATCCGGCAGGCACTCCATGAGGCCTGGCACAGAGAGATAGAGAGAGGGAGATAGTTAGAGATAGCTAGAGATAGTTAGAGAGATAGAGAGATAGTTAGAGATATAGAGAGATAGTTAGAGAGATAGTTAGAGAGATAGTTAGAGATAAACAGATAGTTGGCTATGGGAGCACAACGATCCGGCAGGCACTCCATGAGGCCTGGCACACAGAGAGAGAGAGATAGTTAGAGAGATAGTTAGAGATAGAGAGATAAAGAGATAGTTGGCTATGGGAGCACAACGATCCGGCAGGCACTCCATGAGGCCTGGCACACAGAGAGAGAGAGAGGGAGATAGTTAGAGATAGCTAGAGATAGTTAGAGATAGAGAGAGATAGTTAGAGAGATAGTTAGAGAGATAGTTAGAGAGATAGAGAGATAAAGAGATAGTTGGCTATGGGAGCACAACGATCCGGCAGGCACTCCATGAGGCCTGGCACACAGAGAGAGAGAGAGGGAGATAGAGTTAGTTAGAGATAGTTAGAGAGATAGAGAGATAAAGAGATAGTTGGCTATGGGAGCACAACGATCCGGCAGGCACTCCATGAGGCCTGGCACACAGAGAGAGAGAGAGGGAGATAGTTAGAGATAGATAGAGATAGTTAGAGATAGTTAGTTAGAGAGATAGAGAGATAGTTAGAGAGATAGAGAGATAGTTAGAGAGATAGTTAGAGAGATAGTTAGAGAGATAGTTAGAGAGATAGAGAGATAGTTAGAGAGATAGAGAGATAGTTAGAGAGATAAAGAGATAGTTGGCTATGGGAGCACAACGATCCGGCAGGCACTCCATGAGGCCTGGCACACAGAGAGAGAGGGAGATAGTTAGAGATAGCTAGAGATAGTTAGAGAGATCGAGAGATAGTTAGAGGGATCGAGAGATAGATAGAGTTAGAGAGATAGTTAGAGATAGCTAGAGATAGTTAGAGAGATCGAGAGATAGTTAGAGGGATCGAGAGATAGATAGAGTTAGAGAGATAGTTAGAGATAGATAGAGATAGTTAGAGATAGAGAGATAAAGAGATAGTTGGCTATGGGAGCACAACGATCCGGCAGGCACTCCATGAGGCCTGGCACACAGAGAGAGAGAGAGGGAGATAGTTAGAGATAGCTAGAGATAGTTAGAGATAGAGAGAGATAGTTAGAGAGATAGTTAGAGAGATAGTTAGAGAGATAGAGAGATAAAGAGATAGTTGGCTATGGGAGCACAACGATCCGGCAGGCACTCCATGAGGCCTGGCACACAGAGAGAGAGAGAGGGAGATAGTTAGAGATAGATAGAGATAGTTAGTTAGAGAGATAGAGAGATAGTTAGAGAGATAGTTAGAGAGATAGTTAGAGAGATAGTTAGAGAGATAGTTAGAGAGATAGAGAGATAGTTAGAGAGATAGAGAGATAGTTAGAGAGATAAAGAGATAGTTGGCTATGGGAGCACAACGATCCGGCAGGCACTCCATGAGGCCTGGCACACAGAGAGAGAGGGAGATAGTTAGAGATAGCTAGAGATAGTTAGAGAGATCGAGAGATAGTTAGAGGGATCGAGAGATAGATAGAGTTAGAGAGATAGTTAGAGATAGCTAGAGATAGTTAGAGAGATCGAGAGATAGTTAGAGGGATCGAGAGATAGATAGAGTTAGAGAGATAGTTAGAGATAGATAGAGATAGTTAGAGATAGAGAGATAAAGAGATAGTTGGCTATGGGAGCACAACGATCCGGCAGGCACTCCATGAGGCCTGGCACAGAGAGAGAGAGAGAGGGAGATAGTTAGAGATAGTTAGAGATAGATAGAGAGATAGTTAGAGAGATAGTTAGAGAGATAGAGATAAAGATAGTTGGCTATGGGAGCACAACGATCCGGCAGGCACTCCATGAGGCCTGGCACACAGAGAGAGAGAGAGGGAGATAGTTAGAGATAGTTAGAGATAGATAGAGAGATAGTTAGAGAGATAGTTAGAGATAAAGATAGTTGGCTATGGGAGCACAACGATCCGGCAGGCACTCCATGAGGCCTGGCACACAGAGAGAGAGAGGGAGATAGAGTTATTTAGAGATAGTTAGAGAGATAGTTAGAGATAGTTAGAGATAGTTAGAGAGATAGAGAGGTAGAGAGATAGTTGGCTATGGGAGCACAACGATCCGGCAGGCACTCCATGAGGCCTGGCACACAGAGAGAGAGAGAGGGAGATAGTTAGAGATAGATAGAGATAGTTAGAGATAGAGAGATAGAGAGATAGTTGGCTATGGGAGCACAACGATCCGGCAGGCACTCCATGAGGCCTGGCACACAGAGAGAGAGAGAGGGAGATAGTTAGAGATAGAGAGATAGTTAGAGATAGAGAGATAGTTAGAGATAGAGAGATAGTTAGAGAGATAGTTAGAGATAGAGAGATAGAGAGATAAAGAGATAGTTGGCTATGGGAGCACAACGATCCGGCAGGCACTCCATGAGGCCTGGCACAGAGAGAGAGAGAGAGGGAGATAGTTAGAGATAGATAGAGATATAGTTAGAGAGATAGTTAGAGAGATGGAGAGATAGTTAGAGAGATCGAGAGATAGTTAGAGAGATAGAGAGATAGTTAGAGAGATAGAGAGATAGTTAGAGAGATAGTTAGAGAGATAGAGAGATAAAGAGATAGTTGGCTATGGGAGCACAACGATCCGGCAGGCACTCCATGAGGCCTGGCACAGAGAGAGAGAGGGAGATAGTTAGAGATATAGTTAGAGATAGTTAGAGAGATAGTTAGAGATAGAGAGATAGTTAGAGAGATAGAGAGATAGTTAGAGAGATAGTTAGAGAGATAGAGAGATAGAGAGATAGTTGGCTATGGGAGCACAACGATCCGGCAGGCACTCCATGAGGCCTGGCACACAGAGAGAGAGAGAGGGAGATAGTTAGAGATAGATAGAGATATAGTTAGAGAGATAGAGAGATAAAGAGATAGTTGGCTATGGGAGCACAACGATCCGGCAGGCACTCCATGAGGCCTGGCACAGAGAGAGAGAGGGAGATAGTTAGAGATAGTTAGAGAGATAGTTAGAGAGATAGTTAGAGAGATAGTTAGAGATAGAGAGATAGTTAGAGAGATAGTTAGAGATAGATAGAGATAGTTAGAGAGATAGTTAGAGAGATCGAGAGATAGTTAGAGAGATAGAGAGATAGTTAGAGAGATAGAGAGATAGTTAGAGATATAGTTAGAGAGACAGATAGAGAGATAGAGAGATAGTTAGAGATAGTTGGCTATGGGAGCACAACGATCCGGCAGGCACTCCATGAGGCCTGGCACACAGAGAGAGGGAGATAGTTAGAGATAGTTAGAGATAGTTAGAGATAGAGATAGTTAGAGAGATAGAGAGATAGTTAGAGATAGAGAGATAGAGAGCTAGAGAGATAGAGAGATAAAGAGATAGAGAGATAAAGATAGTTGGCTATGGGAGCACAACGATCCGGCAGGCACTCCATGAGGCCTGGCACACAGAGAGAGAGAGGGAGATAGTTAGAGATAGTTAGAGAGAGAGGGAGAGATAGTTAGAGATAGTTAGAGAGATGGAGAGATAGTTAGAGAGATAGTTAGAGATAGTTAGAGAGATAGAGAGGTAGAGAGATAGTTAGAGAGATAGAGAGATAGTTAGAGAGATAGAGAGATAATTAGAGAGATAGTTAGAGAGATAGTTAGAGAGGTAGAGAGATAGAGAGATAGAGAGATAGTTAGAGAGATAGAGAGATAGAGAGATAGAGAGAGATAGAGAGAAAGTTAGAGAGATAGGTAGATCGAGAGATAGTTAGAGAGATAGTTAGAGAGATAGTTGGCTATGGGAGCACAACGATCCGGCAGGCACTCCATGAGGCCTGGCACAGAGAGAGAGAGGGAGATAGTTAGAGAGATAGTTAGAGAGATAGTTAGAGAGATAGTTAGAGATAGAGAGATAGTTAGAGAGATAGTTAGAGATAGATAGAGATAGTTAGAGAGATAGTTAGAGAGATCGAGAGATAGTTAGAGAGATAGAGAGATAGTTAGAGAGATAGAGAGATAGTTAGAGATATAGTTAGAGAGACAGATAGAGAGATAGAGAGATAGTTAGAGATAGTTGGCTATGGGAGCACAACGATCCGGCAGGCACTCCATGAGGCCTGGCACAGAGAGAGAGAGAGAGGGAGATAGTTAGAGATAGTTAGAGATAGTTAGAGATAGAGATAGTTAGAGAGATAGAGAGATAGTTAGAGATAGAGAGATAGAGA